ATGAGTATTTAATTAAGCAATAATGAGTTTCTAAATGGATGCTCAAAGAAACTGGCTTTATGGTTTATGCAAGAATCAGATAATGGTCTTAACAAAGACTATAATAATTGTGTTGAACGTTTTCTACATTTAAACATTTTTTTCTTAATTTTCTCCAGAGTAGATTTAAACATAACCCAGTTCTTTGATTAGACCCTACTTTGCTTTCAAGGCAGACTCTAAGTGTTCTTCAATGGCCCAAAGGGCCCTGCGTAACCTGACTCTACCCACCTCCAGAGTCCAGGTGCAGACGCTTCTGCCTTGCCCTGCCGACGCCCCCACCGCACTCACCTCCCCTTTGCCCACATGCTCTGTGTCTCATCCTCCAGGAATCTCTTCCCCCTTCATCTCACTACTCCTCCTCTTCTTCCAGGTCTCGGGGAATCTCTCCCAGTATGCCTCCCAGGTGGTTTCTGACCTACTCTTCCATCCTACCCCCACACGTAACCTTTTACAGACTCCCCAGAAACTGTGAGACTTCTTTCCTAGCAGTTAATACATTTTTATAATTATATATTTTTTCATGTATGTCTCTCCTTCCAGCCTATAATCTCCATAGGGAAAAATGCCATGTCTGTTTGGTTAACTGGTGTTGGATAGTCCCTGTGGATGTATGGTGGATGGGCAGATGGATGAATAGTTGGGTGATGGACGATGGATGGCACGTAGGCAAACATGGCTGTGACCCACGACAACATTTAAGGACACATGAGAACCACAATACGCACTTCTCAGAATTCCCAGAACCTCACCGCCTTCCCATTCCACTTGGTTTCATTTGCTATATGCTAAAACAGTATGACCTTTGGTAGGTGCTCCAGCCATAAAAAGCTGCATCACTGGAGAAGCTACATAGGCTTGTTTCATTTAGACATGATGTAATTACTAACTTTATTGATTAATTAATTCATCCACGCATCAGATCTTCAGGCCTGGTCCTGGGCTGAACACTGCGCTATGTACTGCAGGTGGAGTCCCCAACACTGCACTATGTACTGTGGGTGGGGTCCCCAACACTGCGCTATGTTCTGTGGGTGGGGTCCCCAACACTGCTATGTACTGTGGGTGGGGTCCCCAACACTGAGCTATGTACTATGGACGGGGGTCCCCTCATTTACCAGGTGCTATTGTCCCAGTGCTGATGTCCTAAAATAAAAAGAAAAAAAAGGACTTTTTAGAGTCAAAAAATTTTAAACTCTTTTCTTCACATCATGAAAATGGAATTTTTAGGTCCATGAAAATCTATTATGGTAGGAAGAACTAATAGAGGCAGAAATACCGAGGGTCCATAAAAATCATACTGCAACTCTGCTGAAAACGTCCCAGAGACCCGTCCCCCTTGGTCTTCCCACCCAGGCAAGTGGCAGAAGCAGGCGTCGATCCGCGAGTCAGTCCTCGTCTCGCTCCTGTGTGACTTTCTCTTCTTGCCTCTGCTGCCGGACTCCACTTTCCTATATTTAAAGCCACTCATTCACTCAGCAAATACCGACTGAGTCCTTTCCACGCATGTAGCATCATACGAGAGGCTGGCGACCGGGGCGTGAACTAGACGGGCACACAGAGCCTCCAGCCTCCTCAAATCGTGACCTGTTACACTATTTTCATCTCGGCGAGGTGACAGTCACCTGGTTTGACAAAGCAGCTCCTCAGCAGCAGATATAACGGCACTTCTTCCTGACAGCATCCTCTCGTCTTAGCATACCCTGTGCCCACGTAATTGTCTACTGGATTCCTAAGGTGCGGGTGTTAGAGCCACCAGGGCAGGTGTTGAGCCGGTGTTTGCTGTAGCTGGCAGGGTCACAGTCTAGTCCTCTGGCTGAGGGCCACTGCAGCGAGTGAAGGACTGGCCCAAGCAACAGGAGTCTTGGGTGGCAAGAGCAGCAGAACTTACTGTGATCCAGAAAACTGGGGTTCGACCTTTGGCTCATGAAATGACTTTGAACAAGAACCCTCCTTCCTCCTCTGTGCAACCATCTTCATCTGCATCTGCAATCTGGAGGGATTAGACAGTGCAAGGGTCACCCAGGGTCCCCAGGCAGACACAGAGCAGACAGCAGTCCGTGAGGACAGCTCTCCCTCCCGCTGAGCCCGGGAGCATTGCAGGCCCTGGGTCTCAGGCTCAAGCAGCTCCTACCATCCTATCGACACCTGCTTGCAGCCTTAGACGCAGACTCATGGCTCTCTCCCAAAATGCACGTTAGATTATATGGACAAGAAAATACCGGCTCCCAGGCCTTACCCCAGACCAGCTAACAGGAAGATGACCAGGAATTTTTTTTAAGTCCCCTACGAAAGAGACTGTAATGTGCAGACAGAGCTGAGAACTGGTCTCATTTTCCAGCTCAGGAATTCTATGATTTTTTTTAACAGAAGGAGGATCAGCAGACCTTACTTACACAAAAATCAGGTCAAAACGATTGACCCCCGGAGCAGTTTCTATGTGACAGCATCCTCAGTGTCTCTTCTCAGTCCAGCTTTTGCAGCCTGCAAACACGTTCTGAGGACTTTGCAGTCCCTTCATGGAATACAAACAACTCCCCCGGTTTGTTAAGGTGTGATAGACAGATTAGTTCTTGTCCTACCCCATCCCCCTCAAGGCATCAAGATTCAAGCTTATGATTAATGATTTGCAAGTCAATTAATCAGCCCCTGCTTTTGAAACCTCATTTCTCAGATTACTTCTCTTTGAACACAAGGGCTTTTTGACATCATCTTCCAGTCTCTAGATTCACTTTCCTCCTAATTGAAATTCCAAGATCTTCCTTCTTGCTGTCAGCTTACTGGTATTACTTGTTTATAAAATATTTGTAAACAGATTACTGCTCACCTGTAGCGTGTCAGAGGTAAGCACCGGGACAATGCTTTGTGCCTCCAGCTTGAAGGAATGTGCTAGTGATAGCTTGTGAGATTCTCTGTCTATGGGAGAGCTGATTTCTCACTTATTGATTTATTTTCACCACACCCACTCGCAACGAGTCTTTGAGAGGCATTACAATAAAAACACAGGTACAACAAGACTCCCAACAGTTGGTTCATATGTTTCCTTAGAAAACGGTTTTTAAGGTCATATTAGTTGTAGGCAAGGGGTGGGAAGAACGAAATTGGTTTTCTTCACTCAAGAAGATGGCAAGGTTCAGC